GAATATAGTTCCGTATGTTTTTGTAATTTGAAGTGGTTTCCGCGCCTAAAATAAATGCTTTAAAGGTATTTTCTTGTTTATTAAGATCGTAGGAATGTTTTAAAAACGTTTAAAAGAAAAGTCCAGAAAGTTCAGAAATACCGAAACTATAAACACGAAATGACAGGTTAAATCGTAGTTATAATAGTCAATCAGCTGCTCATAGTATTATTATCTTTAAGTGTTGCCAACCTATTTCCAAGCGTACACGGATTATGTGCATAATAGAACCACGCTGTTTTGTGTTGTTTCGTTGGAATCCTGATGTGCGGCAAAGTATAAACCGTACGGCAAAGTATAAACCGTACGGCAAAGTATAAATATGCAGCAATTAGCAGCTTTCTGTACTATAAACAGTACAAGGAAGCCAACTTTGTCGGGTGACTGTAGGAAAAATTTTAATTACAACTATAGCTGCCATTTCGACCCTGGACAACAATGCGTAGCTTTCAGCCTCCAATTAACGTCTGTAAAACTACTAAAACATCATAGTGCGGTAAAAAATATTTGCTAATCATACTCAAATAACTCGGAACACTGCAGTTCCTGATTTAATTAAGGGTATTATTAAAAAGTACTCGTGCAGTAATATGGTAACGAATTGATGGACAGATACAACTAGACTATAAGGAAGCAAAATACGCGTAGGTACAACTAGTCGTAGGTACAACTAGTCGTAGGTACAACTAGACGTAGGGACTACTAGACGGAGGGACCACTAGTTGTAGGGACTACTAGTCTTAGGGACAACTGGTCGCATCCGTACAAGCTAGGTGATACTACTTGTCGGTGGGATACACGTCTAGTTGTACCTACGTCTACTTGTACCTATGTCTAGTTGTACCTCCTAAAAATCTGCAGGTACAACTAGTCGGGTGTGCCACCGTCTACTTGTACCTACGTCTAGTTGTACCTACGACTAGTTGTCCCTAGGCCTCGAGGTACAAGTAGACGTAGGTACAACTAGACGGCGGGACAACGAGACGCGGTCCCAGTATGATTGGCAAATATTTTTCCCCGCACTACGATGTTTTAGTAGTTTTACAGACGTTAATTGGAGGCTGAAAGCTACGCATTGCTGTCCAGGGTCAAAATGGTAGCTATAGTTGTAATTAAATTTTTCCAGCCCTAGTACCAAAAACCGCTTATTTACTTAAAACATTTATATATATTATTAAATATACAAGCAGTATATCCTTAATGAATTGCAATAGACCGCTGCCTAGCAATTATGTATTACTATTTTTGCTGATACCTTTATAAATATTTTTTCACATAACCTTAAAGCATTTGCATTGATTAGTGTGCATTTCTTATACAGGGTGAGGCAATGAGAACGCTACAATTTGTTTTACCTGTCACATGTTAATTGTTGCAACAATGAATGATCAGCTGTGCTTAAAACATCAATTAAACTATGCCATTTTAGTAAATATTATGCCTGAGGCTATTAACACTGAGATTTTGATGTGGAAACCTATTTATAAAATAGGGTGAAGTGGGGTAAGTGTACGCACGGGGCAAGTGGACGCGTTGACTATAAATAAGCCATAACTGGGAAAAAAAATTTTTAATTCATCTTTTTATATGATTTGAAATGTGGTCTTTCAGATTCTGAAGTCAGAAATCAGCATTTATAATTATTTATAGGCCTACATGAAAATTAAGTTTTAAAACACCTTTGCATTTCTACTTACTACAAAAGTACCGCCTTCAAATTTTGAAAAATCATATAAAATCAAAAAATAGAAATAGAAATTTTAAAATTGGTACACTGATACAGTTTTGTAAGAGGAATCCAAAAATGTGGTTTATGTACCTCTAAAATGTATTGTTAAAAAAAAATAGGGGGGCGTACACTTTCCCCGGGCCGAACAGTGGTTGGGGTAAGTGTACTTTCAGCCCCGGGGTAAGTGTACATAGCCCTAAATGCAATGACAAAAAATGCATTCGATGACATCGGGCCTGTCGTTAGGTTTATAAGAAAAAAAGGTGACAACATGTTTTACTGGCCTGAAAAAGAAGACTGTTCAGTCATTCCTGAAGAGGATGTGCTCAAAATGGTACCAGAACCTACACCAGGCAGAAGGGGGAGTTAATATTTGACGCTTCTCTCTTTTCTGTCAACGTTCAATAAAAAAAATTAAAAAAAAAACTAGCTGTAAATATGTAAATAATAAGTATTTTCAAAGCAAGTGAACAGTTCCTTAAATATAGTGTTAGTGAAATAGTCATGTGGCCTAATATGAACTGCTTAAGAATTATTTGGCGGAATAAAAAAAAAGTCATTTACAGTGCAGAATTCACCTCCAGGAAAGAATTATATACGCATATTTAAAATTGTGTTTTTTAGATTCTAACTAGCCTACCATTATTTGTGAGATATTAAATAAGTTTTTTACAGCATTTAATTCATTTAAAATAATTTATTAACACACTAATAATAATAATTGTAAATGTACCAATTAGCCGTTTCACGAAAATTGTATGCGGAGTTTCACAAAAAAGTTCATAACTCCTGAACAGTTGGAGCTAATTTAACAAATAAAAAACCATTTTAATCAGCAGATTCTAAGCTATGCTCCACTTGCCCCAGATTCCACCTAATGTGAGTTAATAAAAGTATAAGGGGGGTGCGTACACTTACCCCAATTTCAGGGGCAAGTGTACGCACAGGACATCAGTTTATAAAAAAAATTATATAAAAAAAAGTTTAATAATTTAAAATTAAAAAAAAATACCACATACACAAAACATTCCAAGCTTTCTGCTCACCAAGTTTCATTAGGATATCTGAAATACAATTGAAGTTATTGTAAGTTAAAGTGCAACTAGTCGTTTTGGTGTGTACACTTACCCCACTTCACCATAGTGGTTCTTGTGAAAAAACCCAGAGATTGTTTGGACCGTATTACATCCTTGGTCAACATGACGCTGTTCCAGATTGGAAAACAATGTTGAACTGGGTAAAATTATTTAGGATAATCGCTTAAACAAAAAAAAATAATCGGTGGGTGCCGCAAAACTCTTTGTACACCAGCAAATGTTAGAAGAATATGAGTAACTCAAAGTAATTTAAAGTCCGAAGAGATTTGCCAGGAAGCTTTTGTTGTTGAAAGCTTTACGTTGGCTATTTTTTTTGGGAGGGGGGAAGGTTGTTCTAATAAGCTACTTGACGTCCTAGGTTTTTCAAAGTCACCCCACAGATTTGCTTGAACCTAAGCTAAGGATAGTCCAAAAACTAAAGTGATTCCTGAAGAAGTGCTGGAGGAGTATTTGATGGAGTTTCAAGTGGCTAAAAAGGAATGTCAAGTAGGACAATGAAGTCACTTGTAGGATTTTGTTCTCAAGAAATGGAAAAATGACTTTGTTAAGTTAAAATGGCAAAAGATAAGCTGTGTTTTGGTGTGCTATTTATATCCATAGGGTGAATATTATTGATTTTGTACTGTTTATAAATTGGGGCGCTTTCATTGCCCCACCCTGTAGTTTACAATGGATTTCCCAGTGAGCAATGAAGTGTACAATGAAGTTGAGGTCTAGTGGTTGAAAACTCGACCAAAAATATGCAATGTACAGACTTCTCTATTTAACATAAACTGTAAATAATACATGTGATGGGAATTTCTTCCATTTGTTTTGATTTTATTTTCATAATTAGTTGTTATTTCGTCACCAGCATAGCAACCCGTTAAACCCATGTTAGTTTTAAACAAATTGTAATTCTTTTTTATGTATTTTTTTAGCCTATTTTAATTTATGAAGGCATTCTGTAGATCGACAGGAAAAATACATTTCTACCGATATGCGGATATTTTCTCTGTGATGTTCACGAGCTGAGAAAAAGGTTGTAAAGAAACATGCTTGCCTATTAATAATAGCTAATAATTATAATAAAAATAATAATAATTAAAAAGTCATATCAGGGTTATTTTTTCAATGGTATTTCAATACAGAGCATTAATTACGTTTGCGTAGAAGGTAATTAAGATGTGTTTTTGAGAAAAGTTAGTAGTTAAGTCTGAAATAAACTAATTTGTCAAAGTATATGCATCAACAACCAAACTACGCCAGTTTACGTAATATCCATAAGAATAACATATACATTTTTAATTTGAACTTGTTGTAATATTCTCCGTGACTAATACCATACAAAAACACTTCATTATACTCAATTACTTGTTTTTGTAAACTCTGAATTTATTTATTTAAGATAATTGTTTAAAGTTGTTGTTAAAGCTAGTTAATGTTATTTTTCTATAGAAAGGTAGAGTTTTAAGTGGAAAAAACAATGATAGCAGATCTTGACAAGAAATAAGGAAAACCAAAGTGTAATATGGATAAGGACTGACCAAGGGACACAGTACATTGTTATCAAGAACAGGGGTTTCTCAATGAGCTGCGGACAAGCTAAATTTTCCTGGCTTTTGTAGCAAGTTGTTTATAAAAAATTGTTGTAAGATTGTATGATTTTTAAAGAAATAAGATAAATCCCTTAAACTGGTGAAAAGTTGAAGGGGAGATACAACTAGCCGTAGGTACAACTAGACGTAGGTACAACTAGACGTAGGTACAAGTAGGCGTAGGTACAACTAGTCGTAGGTACAAGTAGTCGTAGGTACAAGTAGTCATAGGTACAAGTAGTAGTAGGTACAAGTAGACGCAGACGTATGAGGTCCAAGTAGACGGTGGCGTACCCGACTAGTTGTACCTGCAGATTTTTAAGAGGTACAACTAGACGTAGAGACAACTAGACGTAGGTACAACTAGACGTCCGCACCATCGTCAAGTTGTACCTACAGTTTTAGACGAGGTACAACTAGACGCCTGTCACCAAAATGCAGCAGGTACAACTAGACGCCGGTACAAGTAGACATCGACCCGTCCTAACTCCCTGAAATCTCTAAGACAAATTTATTTTAAAAATATAGCTTTAAAAAGGATTAAAACTTAAAACTTACGAGATTTGTGCATAAATAGGGTCATCATTAAGTTATATCTTTCTCGGGACTCTGGAGGAATACTTTCTTCATCGTCCAACACTTCACCACTCAAGTGTCTTTTCTCCCACTCCTCTAACGGGATAGCGAGGTTGATAATAATTTGATCCTCTTCCTCCACCGTGAGCCAGGATGATGAAGAAGATGATTTGTCATTGTTTATTTCTTCTATTGAATCATCTGATTCTTCGGTTGAGCTTTCATCAAAATTGAGTTTTCTTGGAATCGGAAACATTTTTCTTCTATTTTTTTAACACTGAAAAAAGTAGGCCTACGGTATGAGCAAATTATATAGAACATCAAATAGCATAGGCCTAATTATGTTCAATATGACTTAATATATAATCTTACTAATATTATAAATGTGAAAGTTTGTGTGTTTGTTTGAAGTTCAATCACACAATAACTACTGGACGGATTGGGCTGAAATTTGGCATGATGATCTCTCAAATTCCCGATTTACATATAGGCCTGTTCTTATCTCAAAATTCCTTTCAGACTCCGCCCCAGTGGCTCTGCAGTTCCCCATGTTAACCTTATGAGTATTCATATTTAAAAGGAATTAAAGAATTTAGTCAGCTAAGTTGGTTCTATAATATGAATATATGCAATAGCATTAACAAGTTTTAAAGTTTTCCAACAGAGTGCAGCACTATTATTATTTTCATTTTTAAGAGTTGTTAGCCTCCGGATTACGTTTGAATATTTATAATGGTTTAAATACCTGCATTCAGTAATCCATTATGCTTAAGAGCTTTTATTACTGTAGCTCGAAATTGTGTTCGAGCTACAACTTCCACCCGGTCGCGTCACCTGTCTCGTGTTCCCGAGTACTCGGTATTTTTAATGTTAAATGTTCGTGTCAATGTATGTTTTCGTGTGTTCGTGTTTTATGTACTTATGACGACCTTCATATATGGAAGTGAATAACGACGCCTTGTACGGCCTGAAGATGGTTCCCTGTGAACCGAAACTATAGTTGCCACAAGCAGCATAATGGATTACTGAATGCAGGTATTTAAACCATTATAAATATTATTATTTTGTTTTTGCATACCTAGCAACAAAAATCTGTGATACATAATGAGAACTGTCTTTAAGTAGGATTGTTAACAGTTATGTTCATGTTTTTAATTTAATGAATAACATGTGATACTGTGCGAATGTCCTTATTTGTTGTAATTGAAATGATTGCTAATATTTCCTGATTTGATTTTCAGCGTTTGAAGTAAATAATAAAAATATATATTACCAGAAATTGTGTTTTTTTCAACCAATATTAAATATTTTGAAACTGCCTAATACCGGATTTGAATTTCCTAATACTGAATTTGTACCGCCTAATACCGGACGGCAATCCCGCGGGTGCTGAGGACGCCCAAAAACGTATTGAAGCAAATTTTATTCTCATTTAATTTTGAATTTTGTCTCATACAAGATTTAGCATATTAACCCTTCCCCAGGGTGTCCACCAGGCCAACCAGAAAAAATTCATGAGTAATTCATGAGTAAAAAAAAATTCCAGGTAGGCCTAGTTCAGGTCGTACTTTTCATACTCAAATTTCCAACGTGTTTAGCGCCAACTACCGCAATGCTGTTTTAGCGCTAACACAGCTCGCTATTTTAATTATCGGAAAGAGCATTTGCGGGTGTGTACCATGGCCTAATTATGGCGGGTGTGTTGTGCGTTGATTACGCGACGCTTAACACTCGGAGGGTTAAGTTGATGTTGATCAGATAAAACATAGGCTAAGTTATACTTGTTATTTGAGACGAAACCCGGCGCGTCCGGTATTTGGTGGGTGTTCGGTATTAGGTATGTTTACCTTTAACTTAGGCCAACTGTAAACTTAGTTCGACCGAGATTTGATAGGCTACGCCTAACCCATTGTTATAGCCTAGGCCTAGTAAATTAAATAGCAAGTCCAGCCTAAATGAGCGAAGTTTAAGTTGACTTCATAAGTTGGCTCATGGATTCACTGTGAGTTAGAATAGTGTAACTAGGCCTAGGCTACGTCCTTCCAGGACTGATTACGCCTAAAATAGGTCTTAAATTAAAACCTTAATATGTTAATCTCAATTCAAACGGGGGGTAGCCTACGATGAACAAGTAATTTAAGTCCTCGCCACCCTAACTTGTGGCAGCCCAAGGCTGTACGCCGTATATCCAGTGTGGCCTTGGGCTGCCTCAAGTTAGTGTGACGAGGACTATAGATGGCATTCAGGCCTTGTTATTACTCTATCTTGTATTAGTGTTCATCGTCCTACACTGATTGCAGGTGTCCTGATGTTCCAATTAAAAGTGGGCTACGATAATAATGGAGTCTAGTTCATGTCCCAGGATAGAATAACAACCCCAAGACTTAAGACACCGGTATCCAATAATCAAGGATTAACTTGTTGAGCATGAGCCACTATAAGTTAGTTACGGTTTTTGCCCTAAGAAATAGTTCATAGCTTAAGCCTTTTAATGAAAAATTACTTAGATTTGAAAAACAGAAATTATACTTACTTCAGACGAATTGTTCAAGAAATTGCCATGAAAGGTAATATTTTTAAAGTTACCCAATCAAATAATTTTTCATTGTTTTTTAAAGTAAATGAGGTGACGGTGACGAGATTCGAAAAGAAGGACATTAACTTATTACATTTCACATTAATTCTTCAATTCTCAATTCAGATTCAGGTCAAAAGAGAGTTCCCTTAAAATTAAAACAAAACTAAACTTTAAAACTTTAATGAAAAATGAATGTACAAAATGGCGACTGGCGAGTGTAGAAAATAGAGGCATATTTGGCGCCAAATTCACAACGACCTTTGGACATTAATTAATTACTGAATACTATATTTAGTGTGAGGAATATAGTACTAGGAATATAGAAACTTCAAACTACACAACAATGTTTGATATATTACTTACGTAAAACGTAAATTGGGAAGACAATTATTCTGGGATTTCTACAATCTTGCAAAGTTTTGTAATGTTAAATTCCTAATGCTATTTCATCGGATTTATATTAGGTCCCGTAGCTCATAATCCCATAAAGTCTTAAAGCCAAGTCCCATAACTTCATTGTTCAATGTGGATTTTAATTGTACATTAAAAACCAACAGTTACACAACGTATTAACCTTTAATCTTTGTAACTCCTGTCATTTATTTATTAAAAAAAAAATCTTGTACTATTAATTGTTCTAAAAGTTGTATCAAAGTTTTCATACTTTGTCTGGCATTTGTAAATTATATGTAAAATAGTTTGCATTACAAATAACACGATTTGATATATGATTCCCAATAAAGCCGAAAAACTACAAAATTCACAGCTTTCTCTGGTCAGTTCAAACAACCGCGGCCACCTTTAACTACAGGCCGTGGCCTGGTAGAATTGGCCGTGGGGTCCCAAATGGCAACGTCTTGTCGCAAGGGGTCGCTGTCAATGCGCCACCACGTCAAACCGCCACCGGCGCCACCTCGGTGTTTTGGTCAGAGGCGTCAACCCGCCACCACAAAAAAACCGAGGTGGTGGGTTGACGTGTACGTACAGGTCAACCCGCCACCTCGACAACAGGCCACCACGACAACCCACCACCACACAATTTTCCGAGGTGGCGGGTTGTCGTACACACTCAAGTCAATGAGCCACCACGACAACATGCCACCACGACAACCCGCCAACACCAGTTTTTATCAGAGGTGGCGGGTTGTCGTGAAGCTCCATGTTTGATGTCGGCAACCCACCACCTCGCACGTAGGTGACAACGTGCCACCACGTCAACCCGCCACCACTCTTTTACGAGGTGGCGGGTTGACGTGTACGCTCAGTGTTTGGTGCCGTCAACGTGCCACCTCGCTCATAGGCGACAACGTGCCACCTCGACAACCCGCCACCATGCATTCTTGTCGTAAATCGGTTGGATTTATATTCTGTAGCATGAAATATATTGTACTTTGATTCAGTTAATTTAGAGAAAGTTAATGTACTTAACTCTTAAATATCATTTCTGGAAATTTTAGTTTATTTTCGGAAGAAAGATTGATAGATAATACAATTATTAACATGGTGAAAACCCAACATTTGAAAAGGTCTCACGCCAATAAGGGTAGGAACTTTTCATTCTAAAACCTTAGTGCAAAACTACGAATTGGTCCAAAACCTTAAACACCTCAAACGTTGAAATTTGTCCACAAATAAGGGAGGAGTAGTATTCACAAAACACAGCTCTCGCGTATTAAAATGAGATGATAAAAACGTATATCAAAAACAAAAATAGAATATTTATTTTACTTAATTGCCAGTGAATAAACAATTTTTGTTCATTAGGCGTATAAATATATATATATATATATATAAATGATGTTTTTAAAAAATAGTACAACACAATTATGGTCCAAAAGTTATTTCAGCTTTTGTGATTTTGAACTATATACTATCACCGCTTTCCCATGATATAGGATGTTAACAAGCTTATGGGAGAAAGTATGTTTCAGAATGCTGATGCCGTTTATTTTTACATTTATTTTGTCATTTATAATGTTTGATATCAAGTAATCGTCTGTGATATGAAATAAATCGAATGACGTATATTGACGCTTTCAATTGGCTGAAGGCCACTGGGGCAGAGCCCTGATGGAATTTCAAATGTGTTTTGTTTTGGCAAATTTACATGTCACGACCTATCCAACGACACCTTAAACTTGATGATCGGATGCATGGATAGGATGTGTAGCAGTTTCAAAACAATAATCACAACATTCGTGTTGGCCAATTAAATATTTAAATAATGATGATGTTTATGTGTAAATGTATCCTCGACTAAACAATTTTCACAATGTGCAGTATATCGTATCTACATACTACATAGGTTAAAATAATATTACTGATTCATTTGAACATTAATTATCGGTACGCACCAAGCAGTTTCATTATACAATTAGATACAAATTTGACTTAGGATTATAACCTGAAAAAAGTCAAAGCCAAAGTCCTTTATTTTAGCGAATTTCCCTATAGGGAAGTAGCTATTACCGTAGGTGGCACGGTAAGACCTAGACCCGGGACCGATTTACTTTTTCATTTTGATGTCCCCAGAGGCCAAAAACACCATTCGTTCAAATTTTTATATATGTATATATATATATATATATATATATATATATATATAGACTTATATATATATATATATATACGTCCGTGAACGCGATAACTTGAGTAATTTTTGTCCGATTTTGATGAAATTTGGTTTTAAGGTGTAAAGCGGGATAAACTTGAATGAGTTCGCGAACCAGCACGATCGGACCATGGGAACGGGGCTTTACGGGGGGTTTTATGGGGTAAAAATTGGTTTTTCTCCCTTTTGACCCTCAAAACACAAAATTTCCCGATTTCTCTTTAGACCTTTTTAAAGAGCTTAAAAAAACAAATTATTTAGTATATAAAAGTATTTTTGTTCGATTATTAGTAACGGAGAAAATTAAAAAAATTGTAAATTTAAAATTCCCATGTTATTCTCATGGAGAATATTGTAAAATGTTGTAGTTTGCTTGTTTATGGATATATTTTGATCAAACTTGGCAAATTTATTTATTTTGTACTAAGCTATCAATATTTTACTCAAAAACACACTTTATTAGTTTCCTTGTAGCAGCAAACCTAGGTACTCGTTAAACCTAATGTTATTAAAATATATTTAACTGAAAATCAATTCAGACAAATGGAAATTCGCTTAGTCGGCAGGTTTGCTGCGGCGGGGGTATTTTTGTTAACCTGATTTTTTTTAAAAAGGGGGTTTGGCAAGATAATGACTTTTGGTACCATTTGCCTCCGTTTAATAACTGATCAGCGCTGTTTGGCGAAATAATATTACATTTGGATGGTAAAAATGTAAGTGGCCTAAGCGTTTATTTCAAGCTACGGCCTGATTCATACGTTGAAGTACAGTGCTACTATACTAATATTACAAATAAAAGTTTGTGTGTTTGTTTAGGGTTCGATCACTCAATAACAATTCATTGGGCACATCGGGATTAGGCTGAAATTTGACATGATGATAACATTTTCCTGATTAAAATATAGGCTTGTTATTACCTCGACACTTTTTTCTTTCTTTTTGCCTTTTTGAATATCTCTCGTTTGTATTTAGAACAATAGCACACAATAATATGCCTCATTATTAAAAAATCAGGAACGAACCACGAATTATTACTGGGAAAGGTGAACGAAATGCATGTTGTAAAATGTAGACGTGGACACCTGGTGCAAAGTATTTGGCCGATTGTTTAATATAAACAAACCCATAACAGTCAGTACTTAGAACTTTAAAGGAAATATTAGGGAACAGAATACAGGGGTGTCCCGTTAATCCCCTCGCACGTTTCTACGAATGGACTTAATCTGAAATTTCTTAGATTTTTCTTTCACATCAACAGGCCATTCCAGTTATGAGGTGTCGGGTCGCTCAGGTCAGTTCACTTTCCCGTAGTTGCGAGATCGCGATTGTCCTTTAATTTCCAACCTAAATATTGTTTTAATTTCACTTAGTAATCACAAAAGAGAACCAAACTAATATTCTGCTGTTGATAAAACTATTCTATTTCTTGTTTTAATTTATTTTATTTAGTCGTCGGATTATACTTTTTGAAAGATTTTAGACAAAACAATCCAAATGTTTTGAATGATATTGGACACGTTTCTTTAAAATTGTACTAAAACGTCACTTGCCAAATACCATAATGTGACGAGATAATACGTTATCTGAAAACAATTGGCGACCTGTTTAGTGTAATCATCTTCCTACCAACTGTCAATTATATCTTTACGTTATAATTTATTTACAATTAGTGAATAAACGGAACTAGCTGCTGTGCCCGTGATTCGAAACGGGAAGATGTACCAAAAGTCCATACTGCCTAATCCAAACACTTGTTAAGTAGTTTGAATTTTTAAACAAATAGCAATCAAATTTTTACAAAAATGTATGCCCTACATTGTAATTAACCTACTGTTTACATTAAAAATATATCACAACATAATTTTTATAACTTATGGTTATAGAATTTTTCTTCATTTCAATAATCAATTGCATAAATAAACCTACCACATAGTTGTGTAAATTACATAATGTTAACAATTAATATATGTTCTTCTTCTTATTTTTAATCTCTGACAACAGCTGGAATTACATAACAATGTCTGTTTCCCATGAATCTTATGGAGAAATGTGAACCTGTAAAGGGTCCCAGGGCCTCACCCTAATTATTTCCCTAAAAAGAGAGTTTCCTGGACAACTTCACGTTACGCTCTTTCCAAATGACACCAAAAACATGCCAATCGGTTTAGTAATTTCGGAGGAAGAAATGTCACAGAAAAACCTGCTTGCGTATTAAATAAGTTAAAAATCCCTCACCTCACAATTTTGAAAGCCCGTGGAGCAGATACTAGTTCAATATCGAAGGTGGGGGGTAGTTCTAATCCTCGGAGCGGTAGCTTGATTTTTGTCCAATTTGAGTCCAATCGGTTCAGTAGCTTATAGCATTGATGAATCTATGCTTATAGTTTATCTCATACAAACACACAAACACCACCTCTTCTTTATAATAGTATAGATAGATTTAGTAGATGATAGATGGATAGATAGATGTCATTATTATTGTGTGATTATTGTTATTGTTTATATTTGATTTGTTTACAAGTTTTACGCAGATTTAGTTTAGTTAGTAAAGATACTTTTAAATATGAATCAATTATTTCATACA